GTTCGCCTCATCAGCTCATCGCAAGTTGATCGTTTCCTCAATACCATTTCTCACACAAGATATAATGCAAAGCAAGCTCATGCCAATGCATAGGTACCCGCAACATCTTAACGTGGCAAGGAAATCCTTTGTTGCATTAATTTTTCCTCGTGCAGATCACCCATACGTACCTGGGAGTGGTAGGGAGAGTAAACATTCACATCTTTCTTGGTGAAATGGTAATGAAGATCCATGCACCTAAAAATATAAGTACATGTATGTTTCCTTCTTGATGTTAGGAAAGTTTTATTTGTAAAACTTTAAGCATACATGAAAACTCATATTTGCCTTTCATAGCATAATGGTAGTGGATATACACGCCTGTCTTGGCATGAAAAGCAGGCTCAGCATTCTGATGCAAGCAAACTAGAAAGAAAGAGCCAAAAAAGGAGAACACTATAACTAGTAGAACAAAATTCAATTCAAACTAGAATGTTGACATCCAAACAAACACCAAGACAAACGAAACAAAATTAAAATTAAGAAACAATATCCTCAGAACAATAGGCAAGCGGTTTCCTCACATGCAACAAAAAGTAGGTAAAATAAGATAAGTGTTTAAGGGCTTGCAAACCAAGGGTTCACCACAGCTACAAGATCCAACATCCAACAAAACTCCTCCGGCAAATGTCACCAAATCAGCCAACAAACACCTTCCAATAGCTCAAGAAGAAAGATACAAGTGGAGTGGAACTGGCGGAGAGAAGAAGAGGTTAGAAGCCCAAGACGAAATAGAGGAAGAAAGAAATGGAACAAGCTCTCAAGCTTTTCCAAAAAGGAAGAAGAAACCCTCAGGTTTTAGAGACTTTTCTCAAGATAATCAACAACCTTCTTTGCTTCAAAACATCTCCAATTTATAAGAGAAAAGGGGACAGCCAAAACTCCATTCCACCTCCAACCGAACCAATCAGGTAAGGTTAAATAGAAGGCCATAAATTATTCTAGAACAACACCCGAAAAGGCCACACATAAAATAGAGAAAGGCAGCCACGTGACAAGTAGCCAAGGGAGGAACCGAAGGGGCAGCACAAGGGATCGGAACCAGCAACCAGGGGGGCAAGAACAGACCACGGGAAGGAGAGCCAAGGGGAAAAACCAAAGAGACAGAGAAATGAAATGGCCAAATTCCACTCCACTTAATGAGCTAATCAAGAGGAATAACTTTACATATTAATGAGCTAAATATCAGCTCAAGCAATTATGAGCTAGAACCAAGTAGCTCCCAAAGAACACAGTCAAAACCCGAGCAGCCAGGCCCAACCAGAGAAGCAACCAGCAGCCTAAAGACCAAAGAATCCAAGTATCTAGCACACCCAAGGTTTGCCATGCCCAAGCACTACCTACTCATGATCATTGGATGTTTTCCATCATAGGATAGCATAAAAAAAACCAAAAAACTATAATATTCAAATTACAATAAAAAACGAAAATAAAATGAAATTTGCATGCATCACATTACCTCGATACCCTCTACATGAGGGTGACACTAGAATGCTGTCGAAATTTTTAATGACATGGCTTAAAATATAACAAACTTAAATGAATTCATAAACCTTGAGAAATTAACAAAAATGAAAATAATATTAAAAATGACATTAAATGAGCATTAAACTTGACATAGAAGCAATATTAAAGAACTTGAAAAAGAATCATAAAAATGCAAAATTAAAAACAAAGTTAGACTTTACAAGGGACTAATAATTGACTTAAAAGCTCACATATGAGCACAAAAACACCTTGACTTCTCTAAGAAATTTCCTAAACACTCAGAATCCTCAAGAACATGCCCAGTGAGTCGAGCATGAAATAAAAATTAATAAGGGTGGATTCCTATTTATAAATGGAAGAGCAATTTCTTACAAAGCCCACTCAAGTACAATACAAGCCATATACAAATAAGTTATGCCTCTTTGAAAACACAAAAAATATTCCAATTCATGGCACTCACCCAAATCTACAACACGCACATAAGCAAATGTGCGCAATCATGAATTCAAAATAATAAATGCATGTGAATAATTTCCACATAATATTTTCAAGAAAATCAAACAATTTTGTGCTTACATAAAGTAGATTAACCCACTATATTTCATAAAACGTATGGGGGATTTAAATGACGTGCACATCAACCGCTTAAATCAACACATGTCTTAAGTGATAGTACAGTCCCATGATGGCAATACACTTCCGTGAACAGCCAACATGGTAGCCCCCAAGCTTTTTGAGCGTTCATATATACACGTGAAAAAAAATTTCTTTTCCAAATAGAACCAAAATAAATCATTATCATGTGTCATGGGCCATGAATTTTTTTCGAAAAGACTTGCATATACATCAAATCATTATTCAAAATTACATAATGTAGGCACGCCTTGAGGCCCACCTCAGCGCAATTCCAACAAAAAAAGGCTCGAAGCATATACCTTGACCATTTTTTGTGAGGCGTGCATCTCAGTTTGCTTGACTGTCTTAAGGCGTGCCTTGCCTCACTAGCATGAGGCATAGGCCTAACCTTATTTGTATATGTTTGTAATGAAAACTTACCTAAATCCTAAATTAAAGCCTCTAACAAATCATGCCTTTATGCCTCCCGAGCCACAGTAGCTTACTCTTGACTGCCTTGACCTTCAACCAATCGCCTCTGCCAAAAACCATCGTAGTTGTAGCCATACTATTTCAACTTGGGAGGTATTGGACTTCATAGGTTATGAGGTAGGGGAGAAAGCATGTTACGATGACGGCTCAAAAGAAGATTCCTCAAGGATGATAGTGTATATGACTTCTGAATTATTGTCATACTCAGCTTTCTTTAGAAAATAAATGTGGATGAGTTGGAACTAAGAACGAAAGAATTTGGAGTTATACTTGATGGTATATAATATTTTTATACAATTCATATATTTATGTTGTGTTGTTCTTTTGATGTTTGAATTTCAATTCTATTTCATGCAAAATTATCAGTCATTATTTTACGTTTTCTAAATTTTTTATTTCATATGTATGCATATTTATTATTTCATAATACAATAGAAAGTAAATATTTTATCTTTTAACAAATTAATTGATTATTATACAAAAAAATTACTTTAAACTTTATTTTCATTTTATGCATTATTTTTATTTTGAGGCTTGCATCTCCAAATGCATTGATGCTTACGCCTCACTTCATGGACAAAAAATGCCTAAATACTCAATTGCGCAATTTTAAACCTTGCATCAAATCATCGAAAGTAAATTTGTTTGCATTGGCTACAACGTGTTAAACGCTCAAACTTAATATCTAAGAATATAAAGCAATCTAAAAAAGACAAAATGAAATCTATCCCGCTCTGATGAAAAACTCTAAAAGGATATGCTTACTTTCAAAAAATATATATATATGTTAAACTCTTTTTCAAAAACAAACAAATTAGCATGCCACATAAGGATCTTGAGTAGGCTACTTTGCCTGCTTGGTTGAGTTGTCAGTCCCATGTTTCAAGTACGGACCACCTAATAAGGACTAGAGTCAATAAGTCTTATAAACTATGAGTGTTCGACCAACAAATTTCAAATATTTCATGATGAAACAAGCACTTTAAAATCATATTCTTATTTTAATTAAATAAATACATAAATGAACATACTACTACAAAATTCACAAAGATATTTTATTTCATGTAGCATTAGACCTTCAAAGCCTCTCTTAAAAAGATATTTTATTTTAAAATTCAAACTCTCGAAGTCCCCTCACTTATATGATAGCTCATAAAGTTAATATTTGAATCTAATCCCCCATAAGCAAGAAGGCAAAGTTCACAAGATTCTAGTTGCCAGGTGCAAAAATATCAGCCTGATGATAATCGTGTTGATTAAAAAATCTGAACCGACGGGATCTTATTTTCTAAATGCCCCTAAATCACAAGATAGATTAACAGAAAAAAGTGCCTCTCTCTTCTTAGAGAGATAGGGGATGAGAGAGTCTAGAACAAGAAATAGAAGGATTCTTTCTCTCCATATATATATATAGAGAGAGAGAGAGATAAAGAGGAAGAAGAAGATGGAGTAGACGTTGATGAAGTAGAAGAATAAACATAAGGGAGGGAAAAGAGAGAGTGATGGATGGGGAAAGGAGAAGAGTGGTCTGGTGGTGGCCAACAGCAGTGTCATGGAGTGAGCAAAACGCAAAGAAGTGGCTACGGCTAGGCTAGGGAGGTAAGTAGGGAGGCAACAGTGGACAGCTTGTGGGCTTGGAGGCTTCGAGTTATTAAAAACTAAATTTAATTTTAATTTTTTTATAACAACAATAAATAAATTTAAATTTAAATTCATTTTGACTTGCTCGCCAATTTTTCATCGCTCGCACAAGCCAGATTTCATCTCATTCAATGTGAGGAAATTTATTTCATAATTTTCTCAGCAAGCACCTGGCCAATAGGGTTGTCCATTGCAAGCAATTAGGGCACACCAGCCACAATGGCACAATTCTTTTACGAGTAGAACAAGCAATTTCACGTAATGTCGCACAAGGGATTTATCGTTTTTGTCCAGTTTCACTCAAGGTGATCACAAGATGTACTACTTGGAAAGCAACAACAAAGTCCATTTCACCAACATACGATGTTCAAGTGTCGTCACAGGATGTTGCATATATAGTTTGTTGCCTTCATCGTTGTTCGATCGAGTCACACGCGAGCAATATTTTTTTGGTAAATTTAGCTTTCGGAACAAATTAGTGCAATCCGTTTGATTTTAAGCAGCTTTGAGGCATTTCAATCTCTCTATGCATGACTTCGAGGTGTTTCAAGTTCGCTACACACGACATTATAATGGGTGGTAGTCATCCTCTTCACATTCATTTGAATTCAATTTTGGCATGTATATCGAGGTCAATGCTGATTAGTGTACAAACTAAAAGAATGCATTTAATATCGAGAGTTGTTGGTCTTAGAATGCCTGAGTTATTAAAAAAGAATCCAAACCTCTTGAAATATCTTCGTCAAGTTTTTTCAAGACATGTGGTGAAGGAGGTGATTTAGAAAGTGCTGCCCCCAAGCAACTAACAGCAGTTGCCTGCAAATGGTTTTAAGATAAGAAACATAGCAATAAACATTACAACAAGAACAAAGTCAAATGGAACAAACCAGGAGGCCAATGTGTTCAGATTTAAAGTCAAGGTCGCTCTTTATCCAATCATGCACAGAAAAAATTGTATTTGGCAAAAGGTCTTCTGGCATTCGAGCATACCTGTTATAGAAAAGGATGAGAAAAAACTTCAGGCAGTTGAGGTAAGTGCCTAAAAGCTTTATATTTAAAAATTATTCAAAGATGTTCTAAAATTAAAAACTAACTTAGAAATGCAGAATAATTACGGAGGTTCAAAAGAAAGGCCGTCTTAACCATATATTCTTTCATAAAGATAGCAGTTGTCTTTCAAAAGATATAAATTAACTGGAGTAATAAAGCATATTAAATGAAAAAGATACAATATGCAGAAAGGAACCATACGGTGTAGCAGATAATAGAAGTATTAAGACTTTGAACAAGGATACCAGCAATCCATCATGGCTTTCTCGCTTTATCAGGTACAGAACACCTGTATTGTAAAAACAAAATTGAAAAACATAAATTTTAGATCTACAAAGGTTGTGTAGCCCCGTAGCAACCATGAACATTTAATGTTATACAGGGTCAGGTAATTTGAACTGATATATAAAATAGTAATTACGCTTCCAAAGGGGTATGGAGATCTTATAATTAAAAGATTTTACTAAATTGCTGTATTTGTCAAAAATAGTTAAAAGTATCTTGGTTGAATCATCTAAATAAATGCACCATGCAGATTAAAATTAGTCCGTTAATTTTATATGGCACTCAATATTCATTTTAGTATTATGACATTTTTGTCAACCTCACGTAGTGGGATAAATGTTTGATGTTATCGTTGTTCTGTTATGACATTTTTGTTCGTAAATCATAAGATAGTTGTTCATGCTTCTATGTACATATCAAAACTAAACATACAACAGGTTCAACAGTTTTGTTGTCACCGTATCAAACTAAATAATGAATTGAATAAACCAATAAATAGCGCAACTAGAAAATTTAATTTTCTCTCGGAAGATATGATGAAGAAATTAAACGATTACAAGGATTAAATAAATTTATTAGCATCTCCAAGATACAGACCAAGGGCCCAAATTAGCCTTCTGAATAACTTACAGGTGATTACTCATGGAAATCTTTTTGAAAATATTTTCAAGCACCTGTGTGTAACTGCATCAATATTTGGCCAAGTGAGCTGGATAGTGCTGTAAATGACCCACATTTAATGGATTCTCTGTGCTCTGCTAATTGCAGAAAAATAACTGAATGGCCATCCAACATTGCAGCTAAAGTTGAAGATGAGGTAATCCTTATCTGCAAAAGAGAAGGAAAGCTACAGTGTACCAGATGAAACCAGATGACCACACCAAAAATGCAATGAATTACAGAACTAGCAGTACTAAACATGAGTATAATAATTTTAAGGAAAAGGTATATTTATTATCATCTTCATCATCGCCTTATACCCAACTATTCCAAGGGTCATCTTTATCAATTCTTCCTTTTTTTTCAATCATTCTCATGAGTATTGCCTAAGATATAAAATCTATTTTTCGCAAATCTTTTTGAACAAGCCTGGTTACATTAGGTATATTCGTTCATAATTTTCCAATAGAATTACATATTAGATTATTAGATGCGTTTCTTATCCCTTGCTGCAAATGTCCAAACTACTTTCAGTCCATTTTAAATTATCTTATTTTTAATAGATGCAGCTCAAACCAGTCATATGTGGGAACCATTAACTAAGCATTTCCTTCATTCCTCCCACCCACTCCTCTTAGGAATCGGAAGCAGGTCACGAGCTCGGAAAGCCGTGAGAGCAGCTAGAGCTACTGCGCCTATTGGGAAATAAATTCAAAAAACGTTAAGGAAAATTAAGGAAGAAATAGGAAGGGAAGTAGAGGAAGTAGGTTTTTAAGAGGGAAAGGTGTTTGGTTGTATGAGGAGGAAGTGTAATTGAGGTAAAACTTCAATGCTTTTATTTTCAGAGATTGATTTTTTATTAAAATGCATGTATAAATGAAAAAATTTATGCATTAGGTCACTTATAAGAGGAAAAGAAGTCAGGGTGTTTTAGGAGAGCAAATTCATCTGACTACCCTAGAGAACGAGATAAAATACTCAATCTATAGTATAACAAATAGTGACATTTATATATAATTGTGATATCATGATTATGAATTGTGGTAGCATTATTCCTATAGTAATCATGTTATTCATTTAGAGGTACAATTGAGTTCAGCAATTGTTTAATTGAGTTTAATGGATATACAGATGTATGCTATGAAATTGTGAAACTTAAGAAAAGGTAAATGAAAAATGTCATATTATGGAGGTAGACCCACACAAGTAAAAGCAAAAGACCTGACGAGATCAGCCTTAAGGACCACACATAAGGTACCTGACACCTCTTCTAAAAAGTTAAAAATTCGGATCCAACCCTGAAGAAATGAGCAGTGTGTAAATATCCATAGTCATCATATGACTTGCCTAAAGTGTTAAAAAATAAACATAATAAGAAATATGTGAAAAGTTAAAAAATACATATAGTGATTTGTATTGTTATGCAATGATTATTTATACAATTTATGATTTTTATAGAAATGTAGATATCATTTATAATTGAATGCAAATTATATATTTTTTAAATTCTTGTACTAAGATTGTTTATTTCATTGAACTTTTAGCTCACTAGCAGTGATTGTATTACAGAAAAAGGAAGTAGTCAATGGGGCCTACCCGGGTAGGAAGGTGACTGCATTTTTGTGTACATACTTTTTGGTGTGCATAGAAAAAAGAACAAGAAGCTTTACAGTAAGACTTTTGGGTATTTAAAATTTATTTGAAAGTTAGTAAAGCTCTGTATTTTATTTGAGGTATTTTGAATATGCTTCCAAATATGAAATTTGTAGATAAATTATTAAAACGGGAAAATTTATTGTGCTTGGACAGTATGATAGATTGTTCCTACTCACTCGATCCTGACAGAAGTAATTCAAGATGAGTGTTAATAAGAGATATGTCTATTCAGATCCTCTCTATCTGTTACACTCCACGATGACTGAAGAAGATCAAAATGAGGTGTGATAAGATGTCACATAACTAGTACTAGGATATTACTTATTAATGAATCTTAGTAATATTCTTGACTAGACATTCATTCTTTGTGAGCTAATATTATTTTAGGTTCATCACCCTCACTAAACAATTGTGAAGGGTGAATTGATTTAGCTTTAAGTTTACCTTTAAATATTTGAATTTGATAGATGTTGAGTTTTAAAATTTGATAATTTAGCCCTTTGGTTGAGATTAATTTTCAGCATGGCCATCATTGGGATGAAATTTTAGTTAAGAATATTTATATTTCATCAAAGTTTGGATGTATTTAGAAAGATAGAATTCCCTCTGATTAAGAATTTTTATCAAGTGCCTATCATTGAGGTGAAATTGATGTGGCCTAAAATATATATTTGTAGTTTATGGCATGAGAATTTAATTTTGAGAATTTATCCCTCTGGTTGAGATTTATCATCAATATGGCCATCATCAAGGATTTAATATAATTTGTATTTTTATTACCTAAATCTTATCAACATTTTTGGCCCAGCAATAAAAGATCAATTTCGATATCAACTTTGTGAATTATTACACAAGCGTTGAATTCAAAATTTTGCATCTTTAAAATGAATTTTCTTTAAAGAGGGTTTGAAGGCCTAATGTGAATTTAAAATCAAATATCTTTGTGGATTTTACAATCATGCATTCGCTTATTAATTCAAATCGTGTTGACTCTAGTCCTTTCAAGGAAGAGAATTAGACCTGAAATTTGAATTCAGGTTTAACCCATGTAGCAATCTTAGACCTCAAGTTTAGAAATTCAATTTGACGGTCGGAGCGCATGCAGATGCTCAACTTGAAAATATGATTTTAGTTTAGCTCTCTTTTAATCCCACACACCCTTCTTAAACTTTCATGTTTAAGCATTAAGCATGTTTGTTAAAGCACATGTCGTGGATTTAAATCTCCATTTTTTAAATGATGTTGAAGCACTTGCATACTTTCAATGCATTTGTATAATACAAATGCTTGTTTTTACTATACTGACACTTTTTGTGCATTCGCATGATGCAATTGTATGCCTTTTGGTGGTTTGCACAGCATATTCACACACTTTCAATTTACTAGCGCACTTTTCAGTGCACTTACAATACACTTGCATGCATTTCGGTGTATTTACACAGTGTATTCACAACATTTGAAATTGATTGCATGCAGTTGAATGCAATTGCATGATTTTCGGTGCAATCACACACTTTTTAGTGCCTTGGCTTGCTTCCCAAAGAAATAGCATACTTCTTGAGGCAATGATATTTCCTCCCCCCTAAACTATAAAATCTTTTTTTTAGTCATTCAGTTCAACTCCTGGTTCAACTCTGATCAAATCATTTAACATTGAACCTCTCATATTTCTAGTTTGATGTTCGATCCAATTTTCACAACCATGTATAAGATAGCCTATAATTTAGCAAAAACGAACCTATAATTTAAGAAATAAGAACGCTTTTTTAAATAATGGTGTCATTGAACCATAAAAAGACATCTTACTTTGGAAAGAGAATTTTTTGTAGCTATTGTGATGTGATTTTAGGAAAGAGTTTGTTCTCATAACATGGTGCAGTAATAAATATTTATCCTCAGAATTGAATAACAATAATCAAATAATTAATTGCCTAAGATAAGGTGGTAAATTTTGATACGCAAAAATGCTTGAAATATATGTTGTTACGAGAGAAATTAACATTTTTAGTTTAGTCAGATTTGATGTGCGTGTGACTAGTTCCATTAAGAATATTTCATAAAAGTTTTAAGAGAGTTTAGAAATCTATTATGTACTAATAATGAGATTTTTTACTTAATAGATAAAAAATTATTATAAAAATTTAGCTCATTATTAAATAGAATGTGTTATAATTTAAATTATTTTAATATTTAATTATTTTTATATTGAATTAAATTATTTGAATAGATATGAATTGAACCGGCTAGTTCATAAAAATTGGGACTGATTCATTAGTTGGTTGGTTGAACCTGGGGCTGGTTTTTCATTAGGACCGCACCAACCATATGACCGATTCATGGTTAAACTGGTCAAACCAGCCAATCCGATTTTCAAATTCATGATTCTATAATCAAGTATAATTTCTAACATTGTATTTGTCATCTATGTCATACCGACCATAAATCCTTTAGAATCTAACCTACAAGAACTTATATGTCAATTTATGTGAGCTCCAATACTTAGAACCTAATACTTAGAACCTAAAACTTCTTACGTCATATTAAATTCAACTCCTATCCTTCTTCGTTCCACTGGGCTCTCGCCATAGTTCTCCTCGCTCAACATAGCAAGCTATTACACTCGCCACATGTTAATGCTTGTATGTCACATCGCATGACAATCCCTCTAGATCACCACGAGGTGAACAAGGAAAAATATATATACACTACTACCACACCTTACCTATTATAACTTCTATTCTATGAAAATTTTGAATTGTTGGGGAGCACATTATAACATTCCCTAGCATGGGAGTAATTTCAATCAATAACCATCCATACATCTATAGAGCTATTAAAATCATTTCTAGATTCTAGGCTGATAATTTAAATTATATAAATTATAAATAGACATACCTGTCAAAATTCTACATATAACAATGGTGTACATCCAAAATATCAAAACCAGCACCTTATTTGGGTTCTACTTAATCAAATTTTTTATCTGAAATAATCTTTAACATAATAGGGTTTGATTTAAACTCAGTAAAATAAATAATTTAAGAACAAAAATAATTAACAAAAAATTTAATTAAGTTCGTATCTGATATCATATGTTACATGTAGTCTTCGTATAAGAAACATCTAATTTAATATCTAATGTTTTCGTAAACAAGATGTCTAATTAAAACGATTTCAGAGAAAATATTGAAGTTAAGGTATAGATCACATTTCATCTATAATAAATAAACTTCCAATGAATTACTTTTATTGTTTGCATTTCTTATATACAAGTCCTACTTTCGGTTTTAGAATAGATCATGTATATGGAAGTAGTTCATTTTGCTTTCGTAAGCTCGAAAGCTATATGATGATGACTCTGGCGGTCCCACTTTTGTTGCCCTAATTATACAGGTTAATTTACATCTCTTGCTAGGAAGACCCTTTGACCTTCAACTAGACTCGCCTTTGTCGTCCAACATGTACAATTCAACATCTTATTATTCTATCAACATACATAATTTTTCTGAAGC